GGGACTTCCCAAATGGGTTTTCGGTTATGCCAGTTCTTCGGCTTTATTGCGCCATTGCTCCCATTACTAGATGGTGTGACCAAAGTTACAGATTTATCTAAGATCCAACCGATAATCATAACCGTCAACCATAACGCAAGCCTATTTTTCAAAATCCATCGTCTGTGGGATTTGAACTCTAGACCTGCCACTTGGAGAAGGTGACGACTAGACCACTACACTAAGTCGCCACACCTCATAGATATTAGTTTTTTAAATGATATTTCACTGAAAGAATGAATGTAAGAAAAGAAAAGAATGAGTACAAAACCTTTCTTGATGTGGAAAATTACATATAACAGCATATATAACTCCCACACTATATATAGAAGCTTCAAAGAGTTGAAACCAATCTAAATTTATCATCAACCCTATATGGCTATCGGCTATTTCTGGATGAAAGAATGGTACCCCTTCATCATCAGAGAATGATTTCCATATTCTACCATCATATATGTCTAATAATTAGGTTTTGGATGGCCGATAGGTCTATTTCCTATATGCCTTTTCAAATCCTGATTGTTGAAATAGCTTTAAGAATTGTTTTTTGAGATCTACTATAGGATAAATAGATAACGGCTTCCTGATTATTTCATCTTTAACCTTGACTTTTTTTGAGAGCATTGCGCCACATGGTGCTCTTTTGCTGGCATTCGAATAAGTTAAAAACTCCACATAGATGCAGCAAAGTAATTTCAGATGTTGTCCTGCTTTTTTTGTCAAAAGGTCTTTTGGATTATACAGTTTGCAACAAGATTCACATGTAGCGAATCTTGTTGTATTCTCAGATATTCCAACTATCTTTTTTGCTATGTTTATTGAAGTAGGAAAGCTATAATATTTTTCCCTGTCAATACTAGTTAACAAATGCCAGAAATATTTTATCAAGGAATAAATGTGTATATCAGGAAGCTGATATCTTTGTTGGTAACAAAAAATCCACAATACTATCCGCAGTACTTTCTTATTAACAGTTCGGGCATTGGTCTCTGGACTATTTAGAAACAAAACACGGTTAAACATAATAGAAAACATAAATAGAGGTATTGTCAATTAAAACGCGCCATAGTGAGATTAAAAAATTACTATATATTAATTTTTATTAAGAATTTTTTAATCTCACTATGACACATTTTGATTGATGATACCCCTATTAGAAGACTGAAATAAAAAAAAAGAAACCTATTATCTATATCAGGTGCATCAAAATTTATCACATCCTCTTCTTTACTCTCTTCTTTACTCTCTTCTTTACTCTCTTCTTTACTCTCTTCTTTACTCTCTTCTTCACTCTCAGCTTCGTCAATTTCATCAATTCTTATGTTATCGTTTTCACTTTTATCATCAGACGAGAACAAGCTTTTACCAAGATAAAAAGTAGATGGTTTTAGATTATGAAAACCTTTAGGAAGCTGTTTAACAAGGAACTGGTGATTTTCGGGCTGTGACAGAGATATCAAATTATACATATCACTATTCATTTCAGCATCTGACTCTTCACCATTTGTTGAATCAATACCCTGATCCAAAACAACTTCGTTTATCCTATCTCTATTTGAGGATCCTTCACCATTAGAAGTATCTTCTGGAAGATACCCAACTTGGCGGTTTGATATAATACGTTTTTTATTTGGTATAAAAGGTTTTCGTTCTTATGCTTCATGTTTTGTTTTAACTCTCGAATCTCTTTCTATACTATTGCAATTACTACAGAAACATGATACTTTTGTGCATGTATGCTTTTTTGTTTTTAAAGAAATAGGTTTTTTAGCAATTACTTTATTTTTTTTGTAAGTCATAATGAAAATGCAATATTAAAAAAGATATAAAAAAGTTTGTTGAAAGACAAAGTAGTGATATTGTGAAAGATAAATAACAATTTTACAACCTATTTATATTTAGTTTTATTAAGCTTAATAGTTTAAACTTTTAATCCAAATATTAATATTTCAATATGCATATCGGAATAAAGAGCGATGACAGAACTAATAAAAAGTTTACTTTGTTTTGTTATAATTTTAACGGACAAATTAAATACTTAATAGTTATCAGACAGGCACTGCCTGATAACTGGTTTATTTGGTCAAGGGTTTTAAGATCAGACTAAGAAATTGAATTCAATTTCTTAGGCCGATTTTAAAACCCTTGACCAAATAAATAAGTTAAATAGCAATATCAGCTTGCTTGCCTGATAATAGTTTTATCCGGTGGCTTACTTTGATTTTCTGTCTACTGATATTCAATATGTGTAAAAGAACAAAATGATAAATAAATTTATAATATTTTGTTAATAAATTTTTCTGTCTTTGAATACTATCAATACGTGTATCGGAAGATTGACAAAATGAATTTAGAAGTTTATTTAATAAATTTGTCATTTTCGAATACTATTCAATACAGTCGGGTATATTACTAAATTTGGAAAATCTATTCTAGAATAATCCATAAAATTTAATTGGCCTATACTAACCTTATCGGGCTCTTTTTTAGCCAAAAATTGTAGCTTTTTGTGATAGTCGATTGCAATATATAATTGTTTAAACTAATAGTAAAAGACCTCTAGTTTTGTGATTTTTTATGATCTTTCTATGATCAGCACTCTATAGAAAAGTGTACAAGGCCTAAAATTCTTTTAAAAAATTTTTTTTTATATCTAATTTATAGCTTTTTTTTCGCATAACTGCCATTAGAATCATTAGAATCGTTAGAATTCAAGATGTCGTGGCACTCAATAGCTCAACAAAAATTAAAAGCCGAGGATCTTCCTTGCATATTTACTACAATAGCTAGTAAATACAAGGACTTTGGTTTAAGTCTCTGTGATACAAGAAGATCTCAGACATGGCGAAATGCTAATAGTCCAAAGGCAGCTGAGCGGCTTGCATTATATCATAATTTTATATCAGAACTTGTTGATCTTTCTTTGAATTCTCATTTTGTTTGTCAAATGCATTATAATGAGGTTATAATACATGATGTTTTTTATCGAAATCTTTTAGGTAATTCTGATTTAGATCGCACAGATTATGAAAATAAGAGAACTCGAATCAACGCTAGTTCTACCTCTAAAAAGATAACCGCCGAGGATGTTGAATATATATTAGATCTTACTAATGCTATTACCGAATTGCAACTGCAAGTAGAAGGTCAAAAGCTAGAGATATTAGAATTGAGAAGGCGAATAGGTGGCTATTGTGAAGAGATAATTCGTTTAAAGGAATCATATCAAGAAAAGTGTAAAGAAAATGAGAATCTTACTGAACAATGAAACTCTCGGCACTGTAATCAGCATAAGCGTATACAAGAAGCTGTTAATATTACATTACTTGAGCGTGATTCTTTATATGAAGATATTAATTTTTTTATTAAAGATAGCAATAGGTTTTCTTTAAAAAACCTATTAAGTTATACACCACAAATATGGCTAAGCAAACATAACCAAGTTATTGTTAAATTTATTGAAACACTAACCTATAATACAGTTAACCTCCTATATAATCACATGTTTTTTTACTTAAGAATTTTTTTAAAAAATATGCTTATAAAGAGGTTGTGCTTATATAGAGGTGGTTTTTTATAAGTTTAATAGTAAATTGTCCTTGAGTACAAAATGTGATAATGAGAGGTTTTTATACGATGTGATTATAGAGGAGGTGATTATATAGAGGTGCGACTGTAATTCTAATATAGATTCTTTAGGTGCTGAGAAGATTTTCAAAAGGGCGATGGCTGTTGATTTAATTTATGGATCCTGGCATGGAAAATACATGTCAGAAATAAATCTTGTAGCGTCGGCTATAAAATATTCTATTACGAGATCTAAAACTATTGTTAATATTGACAATCATTTGTGTTCAGGAAGTTATTCTCATTTCCAAGGATGGTTAGATAAATTGTCAGAAAGAGAAGAAGCATTACCTCAAGGGCTTTTATTTATAGCATTCGATAACGAACAAAAAGATCAGAGAAACTACCTTGATCGAGGATCAAACACAGTAACATTTAATACTGTTACTAGTTTTGTTGCTTTTAACATGGAATTAGAAAATTTCATTCAACATACTAATAAGCCTTGGTTATCTAATTTTGATATTAGGTTTTAATACGAGAATCTTCTTACAATTATGCCTGAAATGCAAGAAGCAATAAATGAAGAATTATACAGTTATCTTTCTGAAATTTTAAGCTTGTTACTCGAAGAGAAGTTGTCCACTACTAGTAATATCGATGTTCTAGCTTCTAATATAGGATCGAATGACCATTGCAGCAAACGATACCTTAACTGTGGTGAACAAAATATCGATAATAGAAAGCAAGTTTGTCCAAGATACTCCACTCATCTACCTAAGTTATCTGAACTGCAACTAGAACAAGCCCCTGAGTTAGAAAAAGACATAAACGATTCTCCAATTATTTTCAAACCATATAGTATTGGGGAACCTAAATCATCTACTACTATACCAAGAATAAGTGTCACTCAAAAAACGAACACCTGATATAGGAGTTAAGATTCCAGAAATTTTTATTTCTGACCCTTTTAATATTAACTCTAACTCAATCACTAATATTGAAGAAGTTCTTCATTATATAGAGAAAATTTCAGGAATCGAAAACGGAATATGTAAATGAGTAGTTGTTATATGTGATAGTGTTCCATATCACTATGTAACTAAAATTAAGCATAAATTTTCATGATTAATTCTTGTTCCTGGGCAATTGCATGAAGAGATGAATATGCTTAAAGCATATGTCGAGCTGAATTGGTAAGCTTGCATTGTATTTATTTATGTTAAGAATAATTTTTGATCAAAATTATGTATGAGATATTAAAATAATAATTAGTCAGTACATATTGTCAGCTTAAGTTTTCAATTTTATAGTATTTTGATTGTGTATTTTTATTTGATAAAAACATTGATATAATCGTTGTCAATTTCAAATGAGGCAAAAGAGAAAATATTTGCTCTAAAATATTGACATCAATATTTTTTTATTTATATTAACTCTACTTTTAAAAAAGAATATCGATATCAAGGAGTTTGCGAAATACCAAGGATATAAAACAGATAATTAACAGGCCTACTTTAAAAAGTGTCACGATCATCATAAGGCTTGGGATTCTGTTTGTAATATTTATCGCCAAGCGATAGCTATGAAATTGGTTTGGCCATACATTAAAGATAATTCTGATCTGTCAGCAAAAGGATATTTAGACTGGGCAAAAGAACAAAAAGATTCACTTTATCAGATAAAATTTGAACAAGTAGAATTTCTTATTAGTGTATTGCCTTGATCATATAATTCTCGATCATTAATCAATTAGGCTTGATGATCAAGCACGATGTTATAAGATTGATCAAAAGTGAGTCAGTTAATGATTGATTGTGTTAATCGATTAAATGGTTAAAATTTGATCGATTAAGAAAATCTCTAAAAAAAATCTTTTATTTTACAGAATATCATCATTGGCTAATCCAATAATTGATTGATTATGTATACTCGAGCAAATAAATTAATGTTTAATCGATCATACTCGATTAAACATATATAATTGAATTTTGATTAATACAAAATATTTTTTTCTATCAATCATCGATCAACGATTTTTTTGTCAAGTCAATTCCCTGCTCCTTATTGAATCATCAATTTTTAGTGTTTAGTTTTAATTTTAATTAATTATTTATTTTTTGGTAACTAATTTTTTATAGGTTTTTTATTATTTACAGGCTATTATTAACTATAGGAAGGCTATTAAAGAAAATAATCTGTTGCTGAAAAGAGCTACAAAGAGAGTCTTTTTGCCAATATGGTCAGTGCGATGTCATCCGATATACCGGTTAATAGAAGCTTCAGATAAAATACAGCTGATACAGCTTGATCCATCTGTGAGAAACATTGTGGAAAAAAATTGTGCTATTTCTAGGTCAGGGCTCTTCAATCAACATCAAGGATTAGATGCGATTTTAGAGGAAATAAACAAGACCTTGAAAACGCTAATACCTCCTATTCCACAAATACGTCACTAGAAAATTGCTACACGAAATTGTAAAAAATTTCTCCAGGTAATTATTATGTACAATTAAAATATTTAAGTTACTAATTTATAATTGATAATTTATAGTTGCAGAATAATTTTTTTGGGTTAATCGGATACAATGATCCTCAAGCAAATAGTCCAAGAAACCGGCCAGAGGCTACTACTAAATGCCAAAGATTCAGGGCCCATCTAAGAAAAGACAATTTCGTCAATCCTACAGATTCAAGAGCCATTTGTAAAAGTCTGGGAGAAGAATATGAATTAAGCGTTAAGATGGCAAATTTTACAAGTTTAGCAAAAGAGGCTCGGAAAGAATATATTACTAATGTATTTTGTAATAATAATCCTGTGCCTTTGTTTAGGTCTATTCTAGTTACAAAACAGGAAGAAGTCATACAAGAAACTGAAGTTAATATAAGAAAACCAAAAATAATTCTCAAGATTGAAACTCTTCTTAAACAATTAGACGAAGGTGTTAAAAAAAAATATAATAGATTAAGATCTAAAAGGCGCGACGAATTATTGATTATTTTAGATGAGGTAAGATCTTTATTTAATTCAAATAGTAAATATGCTAACAATTACAATGAAAATTCAGAAGAACAAGAATAGTAGATAAATGTTTTTTTTTTGCAAGTAATTTTGTATAGACAGGTTTAAATTAATTTAAATAAAATTCTTAAATTAGAGTTTAATAATTTATTATTTTATAACTTTTGTAATAAATTTTAAAATGATTTAAATTTAAGAATTGATTGTTATACAAATGCAGAAATGTAAAATATAATTAATCTTTAAGTTATTGATTTTGGCATGTATGTCTACGTAATTTACGATTAGGTGACTAATATAAATATTGTACGAATACTGTATCTTTGAATATAGGAATATGATACTTTCAAACCAACTTTGCTGGAAAATAATTGAAAAAAAAATTTAGAAAGCCTATCATTTTGAGGAATTGCCAAATACTTAGATTATCATATCTTCTATAAGTAGGGTTATTAAGCACCTTAAAAGTGTTAAAAAACTTCTATCGCTTTCAGAATAAAACCCGCAAACTATTTTTTACCTGACTAACATCTAAACTAGTCAAGAATTAAACCAAACAAAAACTGCCTATTCAATAACCAAGTAATTCATGACATTATAAAATCATATAAAATATTAATAATATTGGAATCTTATATGAGATTTATTTTTAACCAGCTGACAAATTCATGTTCATATTTAACTTTTTTAATAGTGGCATCTGTTACCGGATTGGCCAAAAAATCATTCGGTCAATTTTTATCAGACGTTCCAGGAAGTGTGAAAGTAGCAGTAAGTACTGTATATTTACTATCCGAGTAAGTTTTTTTAACAATTAGATAAAAAATTTTTTTATATATAAAATTTTTTGAAAATAAAATAAAATTAAAAGCCAGTTTGCTAGGCCACTTTTAAAATTTTTATGTTATGAAACCGATTTATTAAGCTTGTATAAATTACATACACAAGGTACGCAAGTTATGATACGTATATAAAATTAAGTAATAGCATATACAAAATTTATACCTTGAATAATATATGCAAGTTAAAGCTTGCTATAATTCAGTGATTTTTAACCAATCAGAATTCATAACATTTGTACATCGAGAAATTTCTAGACGCCAAATGATCGGCACTTCGATACCATAAAAGGAGCAATTTTTGCTATTCATTTTTGGTAATGTACTCGACTGCAATATGTATATCGGAAGAATAATAATGAATTTAGTTTATTTTGTTTTGATAGAAGTTAATTTTTTAGTTTTTGAATACTAATCAATATGCATATTGGAAAGCAAAAGTTTATTTTGTTTTGTTTGAAGTTTATTTTAATAAATTTGTCATTTTTGAATACTATTCAATATGCGTATCAGAATTTTGAATACTGAGAATAATGAAATTAAAAACTTTTTTTTTTTATATTACTACTGCATATTCAATTATATCAAAACAAAAGCGATGAAGTTAAAAATTTTATATTTCTTTATAATTTTTACTTATCGCTATTAAAATTTTTAATATATTTATAAGTATATTGATAAATAAAGTGTATAAATTATTTATTAATTTATTAAATGAAATATAAAATAATACAATATACAATCTTGAAATTCTATATATTATACTATATACTGTCGAATAGATTATATATTTACAATATATCTAATATGCATACTGATCTACATATAACAAGATCGATCACATACATGGTTGAAGTAATATGTTTCACTAATCATAAAAAATATTAGATATAATGGGTATCGAAAGAAGATACAAATAGATATATAAAATTATATATATAAATGTATATTTAAATAAGATATAAAAGAGTCAAATAAGTACAACTATTGCAATTAAAGAAATCAAACTTCGGGCTTTCAAATTTATGACTTACCGGCCTCAATCTATCATGTTTTTTAAGAATTAGTCCGTAAGTTATAATTTTGAAAGCCTGAAGTTTGTTTTTTTTTTTGCAGCATTATACCAAATAAAAAAATAATGTCATTTGAGTTAGATGTCATGTAATTGTATATAAATAATAAATTTAATGACAATGACCAGTTCTATTTTTTAATTACATGTAAAACACGAATGTAATGATTATTAAAGGTGATTACATTTTATTAATAATTTCTAAAAAAATATAAAAGTAACTGATTTCTTCTTACCAGTATTGTTTACTGTAAATAAAAGTTTTTTACCTAGACTTCCATTTCTCTCCATTACCTTTCTCTTCTAATTTTTTTTGCTGAAAACAATTTTATAAGTAAATATTTTTTCGCGCAACACTTTTTCGTTTTTTCATATTACCTTTTTTTTCTTTTCTTCGTTTACATAAAGTAGATATTTCTTTCTTTTTTACAACTTTTTTTTTCGCTGAAATCACTTCTATAAGTAAATATTCTTTTGCACAACCTTTCATTTTTCTACATTACCTTTTTTTTCTTTTCTTTGTTTACATAAAGTAGATATTCCTTTCTTCTTTATAACTTTTTTTTTCACTAAAATCACTTCTATAAGTAAAGTGCAACACCTTTTCGTTTTTCTACATTATCTTTTTTTTCTTTTCTTCATTTATATAAAGTAGATATTCCTTTCTCTTTTACAACTTTTTTTTTCGCTAAAATCATTTCTATACGTAAAATTTTTTTTGTGCAACACCTTTTTGTTTTTCCACATTACCTTTTTTTTCTTTTCTTCATTTACATAAAGTAGATATTCCTTTCTTCTTTACAACTTTTTTTTTTGCTAAAATCATTTTTATACGTAAAATTATTTTTGTGTAACACTTTTTCGTTTCTATATATTACCTTTCTTTTTTTTTTCTTTTTTTTGTGTTTATATAAAGTAGATATTCCTTTTTTACTTACAATTTTTTTTTTTGCTCTTTATTCTTTTTTTTTTTTGGTCTTTTACCAACATTCCTAACATAGGTAATAACTTCTTTTAATATTCATGATTTTTTTTTTTGATTCCTATTTAAAAGGATATAGGGATATCAGATTTTCTAACTTTCTTTCTTAATATAGGTAAATATCTCTTTCAATTCACTTTGCTCTTTTTGAATTCTTAGAAAATATCAAAATATCTAGTTTCTAGCTTGACAGCATTTCCGATACAAATATTATTTTTTTAAAAATAAGAGACGTTTCAATTATATAATATTTATTTATTCACATTAGTTTTTTTTTAGTTTTGGAATTTTAGAAGCATTTTTGGTTTTTTTTTTGTCTGATATCCATACTATAACACGCAAATCAACTTCTTTTTGTTTTAAATCTTCTTTAAGATCACAATCCCGTGAAATAATTCCACAAAAAAGGAATTGTTCCTTTTCATCTTCTGATTCAAGTGATTATTCAGTTTCTCGTTTTCACTCTCGCTCTCATGCTCATCGATCTCGCACCCATCGGTTTCGCACTCATTAATCTCGTTCACATTGTTCTCAAACTCGTCGTTCTCATTTTCGAACTCATCGTTCTCGCTCTCGCTCTCGTCGTTCTCGATTTCGAACTCATCATTCTCGCTCTTGAACTCATCGTTCTTGCTCTCTAACTCGTTGTTCTTGCTCTCGAACTTATCATTCTCGCTCTCAAACTTGTCGTTCTCACTCTCGCTCTCGTCGTTCTCGCTCTCGCTCTTTCTCTTATTCTCGTTCTAGCTTATATTTTCGCTGAAATTCACATAATCATAGTAGATTGGTTGAAGATATATTATTTAGTGGATAACCAATAGTAATATCTGCAACACCATATAACTAATATAATATTTAGGTGATAGAAAGAAATATCGAAAAGTTAACGATAGAAGCATTTTGGAAGAAGGTTAAGTAATTTATTTATATTAATTTTTTTTTTGTCTAATATGAATATCGGCTAATAAAAATAATATTATTATAGAGAATTCAGCTTTAAATCTCAAGTATCTCGACTTGAGCAAAGGTTGCTTCGGCTGAAAAGAGCACACTCAAATACCTCAGACTTACTATATTCACAGTCATTAGCTATTGCAAATAATTTAGAAGAATTTTGCATCGATAATAAAGCCCATGATCCAAATGAAACAAGGTTCAGGAAAGGGCAATTAATTCCAATGGATTCGGAATATAAAGCAGCTTTTAGAGTATATACTTGCTGTTTTCAGTGATTTACTTATAATACTAACAATAGAAATATCAGATTATATTATATTATAATACTAACAATAGGAATATCGAATTATATTATATTATAATTATAGAAAGAAGTGCTCTGGGCTGCAAAACAATTAGCAAATAACAGTCCTGATTTGAAATTAGATGAAAAAAAGGATAGCAGGATCAAAAAAATTTTGTTGAACTTACCATTTTCCCTGCTATCAAAAAATATATTAATAAAAGCCTAGAATATCTTGATGAAGAAGTTGTTTTGGTGCTCCAAAGCAACCATAAGAGTGTTTCGACGACTGCAAAAATTAAAGCGAATGAAGGAAAGTTGAGAGCAAATAGGAGAAGGACTAGAAAAAACTCTCAAATGCAAAATGTAAAATTTTTTAATTTTATTTTTTTAATTTTTTTTTTACTATATAAATTATAATTTCATATATACCTACTTGCTTTCTTGCATTTTTATTTTTTTGGAAAAAAAAAAGAAGAATAGATAGGTTGTAGCATATGATTCGGGTTAAAGATCCTGCTATCAAAAAGTATCGCCCAAGCTCCGTAAGCAAAAAAGCTTAGAAACAAGACCTCGCCGAAATAGTCATTGCAACAGCTTATCATTCTGATGAACTATCCGAAACGGATATTGAACTTGTAAGAAAGGAACTACCGATATTGAGAAGATAGCTAGAAAAACAATACAAAACTGCCACTTAATACTCCCTATTGGACAATTTCTTTATCCTATGACTATAATAACCGAAGAAATATTTCTTTGGTGCAGCCCAACAATAATAATTCAGAATCAAATAAAATTAATGATCCTGAATTAGATGGTTTGGTGTCTAATGGCAATGAATCAAATAATGAAATTGTGCCCGATGATAATGATAATTCTGGGCATAATAATAATAATAATAATAATAATAATAATAATAATAATAATAATAATAATACCATGTCAGCGTAAGTATTTAAAAAAAAATGTTTAAAAGTTTTATGAATTTTATTAATTTGGCATTTTTTTTAGTTCCAACGATGTTTCTGAATCCGATCGTAGTAATCTTAGAACTGAACAACTGTACGTATTTAAAGTATACTTATAAGGTTTGTAATATATTTATTAATTATTTATTATTTTAGAACCAATAACCCTGAAACAAACAATTCCGGCATGTTTAACTCCATGTCTAACTCTACATCTAACTTTACACCTAACTCTACACCTAACTCCATGTCTAACTCCACGTCTAACTCCATGTCTAACTCTTTTACGCCTAACTCTATGCTTAAATCTACGTTCAACTCTACTATGCCGAAATCTATATTTAACGTGTCTAACTTTACATCTAAACCAACATTGAAAAGTAATCGCCAAAAAAATAAAGATCCTAAAAGCTCTTCCAAAAGTTCTGCCTCTTCCAAAGGTTCTTCGAAAGGTTTTTTGAAAGGTTATTCAAGAGGATCTACCAAAGATTCCTCCAAAAAAAGAGGTCATCTTAATGTTCTTACTGATAACTTCAATTATATCAGAGACGAAGACGATGATTACAATAATTAGCAAATAGAAATTTGATTTTTTAGTAATTGCATATGATTAGTATTAGCGAAAATTGTATATCTGCTATATAATTAGTATAAGCAGAAATATGTAATGCAAATCGAATGTATATAATACATATATTTTATGAAAGATAGATATAATAAAAAATAAAGCAATACCAGCTAGCCAATATCCAAGCTGAACTTAAATATTTGTAACAAAATTCTATAGAAACTTAAGTATATATATATATATAATGAATAAATCGATTAAAATTTTGTAAGTTTTGTTAAGTATAATAAAGTAAAAAAAGCGATATTAGCTAGTGGATACCCAAGCTGAATTATCAAAAATCTATATAAACTTTAAATATCCAAGCAAAAATCTATATATTTCAAAAAGAAATCTATATATATGCATATATATTCGTTTAAATTTGTAAGTATCATTAAATATAATAAAGTAAAACTGAGATATCAGCTAGCAAATACCCATGCTAAACTATCA